CCCAAAAGCTCAGGAAAAAGGTGGCATCTTCTAATGCCAACTCTACTCGCTCTTCTCTCTCTAGACATATCACAGATCCCAACAACTGCCAGAAAATTAATTGAAGGCAGGGGTTCTTTTGATGGTCTTTTTTTTTATGTCTGACCTGAACTGAGAGTATGAGAGAGACTTGTACCACATCTATTTGGAAGAAAAGATACAAGCTTTACAGTAGAATTACCGCCCTTTCTTTTCTATTTATAATTATAATAATGACCCTTTTACTCAATCCCAGAACAGTAGTTCAACTTCTCCTTTTTTTAGCCCTTAATCTACCTCGGAATTAGAGCAACCAAATCTAGGCAACTCGGAGATTATGATGTTTCATTGGTCTATCTTATAATCATCGTCATCATTAGTTTCACCTTGTTTGAAGAAAGTATTCACATAATCACATTTCAAACAGTACTCACATCAACATTTAATCATTACAAATTTGTTCATGAAAATACAATCTTCACAAAGATACAAACACCTCCCCAAACAAAAAAAAAAAATAAATAAAGAGAAAAAACTTACTGTAGTAGTGTAGTTGCTGGTCTGTAAATTTTATTCCAGAAGGGTGTCTCTAGCTTAAATGAACACTAATTTTACTGGTTTTTTCTCCTGAATGTTGCAGAGAAAGGGTGTTGGTTCTACATCAGACAGAGTACTCGATGCTAAGGTGTGTGTGTTAGCTGCTGCTGGTCTTTGTTTTTGTTTGAAGGCCAAGCTTTCTTCTTTGATTTTCTCTGGTATTCTTTGGATTTAAACTAGTTCAAAAAAAGATTCAGACTTGAAGCTAAAAATGTGTTCACTGGTCACAGACATCGAGACGTTTAGCTCAAAATAGAGAAGCAGCAAAGAAGAGCAGGCTCAGAAAAAAGGTGCGTGTCAGTTTCCGGTGACAGTATGTCACCCGGAAGTTCCATTTTCCGGCAAACTTTCCTTCTTGAAATTCTACCATCTCACTTCCCATTTATCTCTCTCCCTCTGCCTGTCTCTCTCTGTACTTGTGTATTTGTGCTGGACAGGCCTATGTACAGCAGCTAGAGTCAAGTAGGTTACGGCTCACTCAGCTAGAGCAAGACCTTCAACGTGCTCGGTCTCAGGTTCTTACAGTTTAACTTAAAAACATTTTTGCAAATTAATAAATAAAATCATAATCTTTACTATTTTATAGGGGTGGGTTATGATTGATTTCTTTGGTGAACACTTAACAGGGATTGTACTTTGGAGGAGGTGGTGGTGTCTCTGGGAACATAAGCTCTGGTGAGTCCAATATGTCTACAGTGATTTTACCAAATACCCATCTCTTATTGGGTCTTTTCTATGGATAGTGGGTGCAGAGGGAAATTCTTTGTTTTATCTTGGGAAGAATGAAATTTCATGTACTTACAAATTAAGACCTGCCTTTCCAGTTTAGGTACTAGGCACATAGTTTCTAAGTACTGCTATAATATATATTCCTGGTAATCCATGGCTATCATAGTTTCTAAGACTTAGTAGTATATTCCTGGTAATCAATGGTTACTAGAATTTATGTTAAAGAGCATTGTCAAATTCAAAACTCTTGTTATTCACAGCATGTGCTTATTTTCGTAATGAATAAGATTTATCCTTGCTACATGTTTTAAGAAAGAAATTTATTGGCATTCCCTATTGGAAGTATGACTCTGTTATTAATTAATTTGCTGGTAATGACCATAGGTTGGTGCACCCTCAGTCTAAATTTTCCACGTTTTATTTTCAGTCAAATTATGGCAACAGTCTATTTGTGTAATCGTCAATTACCGACATTGATCATTTTGACAAAATGGATGAGATTGGATCCCCATAAGATCTACACAGACTTGTCTTTTTTCAAATATTTGGAGCTCTAAGTTTCTGAACTGGCTTGATGACAAGTAAAGTCTTGAGTAGAAGTTGTGTTATATTATTTGTTCTTTCATTTTCGTAAGAGTTAAGGCAAAAGTATCATATATTAATGCGACAAAAGTTTGCTAATACTTTCAAAGGATAAAAAAAACATTGTCCAAATCGTTTGGTAATTAGTACAGGTTCATGTTTTTGCCAAGATTCCATGCCGTAAAATTTCCTCTACAGCATCTACCAGAAATTGTTCACTAATTCTCCTAGTATGGATGTTACTTTTGGGCATGTCCAAACGACATACTCCTAAAGCTATAAAATTTTATACTTCAGCACCTACCTAAACTGTTCACTAAAACTTCTTTAACCATGGAGATCACCTTTATACCTAAATTGCAGTAAGTATCAAAGACTCACTGGCTAATATTTCAGGTGCTGCAATATTTGACATGGAATATTCAAGATGGTTAGATGATGACCACAGGCTCATGTCAGAGCTTCGAATGGGGTTGCAAGCACATTTATCTGATGGCGATCTCAGGGTGATTGTAGATGGTTATATTGCCCATTATGATGAAATTTTCCGCCTGAAGGTATTGGCTGCCAAATCTGATGTTTTCCACCTTATTACTGGAATGTGGACTACTCCAGCTGAACGGTGCTTCCTCTGGATGGGTGGTTTTCGGCCATCTGAGCTAATTAAGGTTGAAATTAAGCTACTACTTGTTTTCTAGAATATATTCGTGTAGATCGCAGTTATGAATAGAACAATATTTGTATCTGCATTTGATCTTCATAGTACCACTTTTTCATTATTTAACCCAGCCATCTCAGTGATTCAGTTATTGATGTCTTTCTCTAACTTATTTTTGGCTTGACGCTTATTTCAGATGTTAATACCACAATTAGATCCATTAACCGAGCAGCAAATCGTGGGGATTTACAACCTCCAGCAATCCTCACAACAAGCAGAGGAAGCCCTGACCCAAGGATTAGAACAGCTTCAACAGTCCCTTATCGACACGATTGCTAGTGGGTCTATCAATGATGGTATGCATCATATGGTTGTTGCTCTTGGCAAGCTAACCAATCTTGAAGGTTTTGTTCGTCAGGTAAACCCATTGCATTAGTGCATAACTGCCTTATCCGGACAACTTTTTACTCTTATATTTTGTTGTTTAACATGCATTGTAGCAAGTAATTGCCTTTTGATTTGTTGGTATCTATAATATTTACCGTGAAAGGGATGCAGTAAAAATATAAAATAATTGTGGAATAGTCCAGTCTGCTCTCCTTTCCTTCCAAAACTGCCTAAGATGTGATGAAAATGATATCTCAGCGGTGCCATACTAAGAGGAAAAGGCAAATGTGTTGTCATTGTGAATACTTCCTTACCTACCACAAGAGTAAGAGACTACTACTTTCTGAAGTAACAATATTGTCAATGGTTTATCAAATGACTTTAATAAGTGTAAAGACTGTTTGAGAGTTGGTCATATAGAAAACTGAGGTGACATTATCAGTCTATGTAGGTGACCGAATCGCCCATAATGAAGAAAAGAAATTAATCCAATCAAAGCTCTTTTAGTTAGTCTCCCATTTAGAACTAGTATGTACAAGACTAATATATAGATGGAGTCCACATGACCGGGCATTATGATTTTCATATAATTCCATTAATTAGGTTAGGTGGTAAGCATATAACACTGAAATAGCAGTTATCAATCGCATACTTGATTGGATTGTAATTTCATTGTGCTGCAAATGATTTTGTAGTGAAATATCGATTGCTTTGTGTTGAAGAAGTCATTTTACCATGTTGAATGCTAGTGTTTGATGCAGTGTTCCATCTAACACGTTTCTATCTGAAGGTGGTTTGACAATGGCTTCTATTGAAATAAAAGCCCTTGCTAGACCTATCAACAAAAGATTAAATATTTTGGGACAAGATTATATGAATAAGTTAGTTGAAAAAATGTTAAAAAGATCTATTTTTTAACCTATAATTGAAATAGTCCAAATCTCATAGATAAGACAACTTCATGGGTTTCAACCCTTTTGACAAATTGTTTATATTTTATTTATTTGTGAGGTCATACTCCATGATTTGTTATTTTGAACTGCAGGCTGATAATTTAAGGCAACAAACCCTTCATCAACTGCACCGGATACTGACAGTTCGGCAAGCTGCAAGATGTTTTTTGGTGATTGGAGAGTATTATGGACGATTACGAGCCCTAAGTTCCCTCTGGGTGTCTGGACCGCGAGAGTAAGATCTGACCCAAGTATTCCTATTCCCTATGTGCTCTTTAAGATTTTTGGGTGTGTTTAGTAGAGACATTGATGAGGAAAAGGCCTCTAGGGACAGTTTCCGAAAAGTATTTTCATTTGCTAAGCCAGATTGAGGTTTTCTATTTTCACCCTTGAGAGACTAGGAAATAGGAATTTCTTTTTGAAAATAAAAATTTGGGACAAGATTATATAAGAATAATAGAAGTCTTATATAGCGCCTGCCAGTAATGTAATTCTTTTAATTACTTAAAAACATTGAGTAACCTTTCAAAACAATATGTGAAAGTTTACTATGGATGTGTAGTTCTAGAGTTTTTGACTGTCATCTCATAGCGTATGCTAATGACTTATTTTTTCCTAACTGACGTCTAACTTGAATATCTATCAGCACTTTGATCGCCGATGAAAACTCTTGTCAAACAACGACGGATTTGCAAATGATGCAATCTTCGCAGAACCAATTCCCAAACTTCTAACCAAGCTCAAGCTAGCCAGTAGCTGCCTTGATGTTCAAAACACCATGGCCTATCGTTGTCTTGGCGTTGTTGGACTTCTTCTCGATTACTCCATAGGAGATAGGATATTTGTCTTTAATTTTTTTGCACTTTAGCCTTATAATACCTTCCTATCATTATGTTATCTTGTAAATTTAAATTAATTTTATGTGCATGAGGAAAGCTTTTCACTTAAGTTGAAGAGAGAGAAGAGACTATGGAAATTTGGCATACATATAAATATAAAAATTTGATCATGCTGTATTTTTCTAAATGTCATGGTCTGCTTGAATGAACTGAATTGTATTCTTCATATCTGCCTGGAAACAGTAGGGAGACAAGTAAAAAAAATGAGAGGGAAGGGAGAGAAAAGTGGGTGCTGGTTCATCATTAATATGAAGTGGTTGCGTGGTTGCAAAGATTATTATTCCAAGCACAAAGGACAGTCAGATAGGAGGAGAATACATTGAAGTGTGTTGTCTTCTTCTAAGAAAGACTTATATACAAATAATATTGTGAGGGAAAAATGGGGTGGGTGGTTGCTCTTCGTTTGAATGAAGAGGTTATGAGGGGTCATTATTCTAATGTTCAAAGGACAGATAAGTTTTGTCGGTTTTGAAATTGAAAAATATAGTGAGTAATGTTAAATTGATCAAAAAATTAGATAAAAAAAAGAATTAAATGATATAATATTGTGATAATGATGTTTTTAGTCTCATTTTAATTTATTTAATATTAAGATTCTATTAAACATATTCAATTGTCATGCCATTTGGTTCTTATATTTCATCTTATTTTTTTGTCCGTCTAACTTTTTTCAAATATAAATGGCAGACAAATATTGGTTACACATGTAATGAAATGAATGTTTTAGTGATAAAACATAACACACTACAAGAAAAAAGATTTTTGCAGCGACAAAGTACTATCATAAAATGTTTATTTTTTGTGACGATATTGCCACACCATAATAAGAGGAGCCTAAAACGTTTTTATAACAGTAACATATCATTTCAAATAATGTTTGCGCGGCAGTATAAACTTTTTATGCCAATAACTATGGTTGCAATATGTTTTTTGTGATGGAGAACATAATTGTTACAAAAACTTATCTCAAAAAACTCTAATTTTTGTAGCGACACCTGAGTTTCGAAAATATTAAAAGATGCATGAATGGGTTTTCATGATTTTGTTGGAATCATTTTTGGATTCTTTCCATTTGTTTTTGACTTTTTTCCTTTGTGTTGGGGTGTGGTGGTTTTTTTTTTTTTTGGGGGGAGGGTGGGGGGTGGGGTGGTGGGGTGGGGTGTGTGTGTGTTAAATTTCTTGTGGTTTATACTGACTAAACGATGCAATAGTACCATACTACCATATGCCAATATCTTATCATTTGGTCTCTTGTAGCAATACCAGAATTAGTTTTTATGTGTACACATTTATACCTATCCAGAAGTACCCACCACCATATCTCTCCACACTAATGCAATCCACCACTCACCTCACCACCACCCCCCCCCCCCCCCCCCCCCCCCGAAAAAAAAAAAAAAAAAAAAGCACCCACACACACACACAGGTAGAACATTTTAGGTTTTTCCCCATCTAAGAGGGTGATTCATGTATGATTTTTTTTTGTTTTAGCATGTTGTACATTTCACTTTCCTTGGTTTCCAGGTTACAAACACAATCATTTACTGAAACTATATATCATGACACAGGATGTTTTGACAGTGAGGACAACCTAAAACTCACTAATAAATATATGACAGACTGAAAGGTCAGATTTCACATCTTTAACAGGGAGATCCCATGTATTCCTTTGTAGAAAGAGAAAAAAAAATAAAAAAATTGAACCAGCAATTCGAAGCATAACAAATCCAGCCCATGAAAGTTTAGGAACCGTATCAAAAAACCAGAAATAAATCTTCAAAGGAAATCATTTGAAAATAAAGATTTTACTTTTCGAGTGTTGTAAGAAAAGGGCTTAACCATGTTAATTTTTTGTGTTTTGTTGCAAAAGCTTGATTTGAACTTTTGCAGTTTGGTTCATGTACAAATAAAGGATTAGATTGGATAATTATTTTTCATTCAATCCATAAAATGGTGTTAACAAGAGTATTATTTAATCTTATCATTGTATAACAAGTTTGGATTAAAATTGAGATAATTTATGTTTCGATTAAGTAATAGTTTATGATATTAAATTAAAAATAACAAAACAAATATTGAGGGTAAGAATTTACATAACATTTAACTTTTATATGAATGTGTGACTTTAAACTTGTAAGGAATACTTGGTAAAAATAATACCACCTACTATATAGTATTAATTACAACCTAATATTAAGTGTTAAATGATAATAGTGAACCAAGTTGGGATTAGTTAAAATTAATACCGGGTCACTATAAACTCATTCATTATATTATTATTGGATTAAATTAATCTAATCCACCACTTAGGACCTAAACCAAACATACTGATGTTGTAAGTTTACAGATTGAAATAGTTTATCTTGTGATTAGTTAAAGAGATCCATCTTTTTAATTCTTTTATTGCGACTTGACAGAAAAACTAATTAAGTGTTCGCATACCCTTTGGAAGGACTAAGAGAATGTAGGAGAAATTTACTTAAAAGAGAAGAAGTACAATATTGTGACACAAGGCACAATAGCCTCACAAAAGGGTTTATGTCATGTGACCTAACTCTCTCTCTCTCTCTCTCTCTCTCTCTCTCTCTCTCTTAAAGCTCTTATCACACTTTATACCCCAACTTTTGTGGCTAAGCCAAGATTGCATTAATTCGAGCCAAGTAGCTATATGCGTGGCCAAATGTATTAGGTACTTTGCCTTGCATGATAAGGAAAACAACACTATCAAACCATTTAAGGGGAGGAGAGTATTTAAAGAAAGCAATACTTGATAAGGGCCAATGTGATTACTCAACTTGGTTCAGAATCAAATATAAATTATTAGTATGAGTTTAATCTTAATGGTTGGAATATATAACTATCAAATTGTTCAGCTAAACTTATTTAAAAGTTAGTCGTTACAAACTTGATTATACATATAAGATATGAATCTAATTATATGTGATTATATATATAATACTTAGCACGACACGGTTCATTTTCAGCTCTACTATTTGCTCTATACTCTCACTTTCAACCATTTCCTATGTGCCATTGTGAAACCATTTAAAATTTCCACGTGCAACTCTGGGTGTATAAAGTAGAATTACCCTTCAATCACAGAGAATAGACTAACATGAGGAAGTTGTATGCAATATTACAGGACAAGAAGAGCAGTTTGACGTATCAACTACAATTAGACGAAGCTATTCTTCTTTAACCATATCTTACGAGGCTTACTGCACTCCTGCAATTGTCAATCTCTCTCTCTCTACTATTCTTCTTCTAAATTTTTGTAGCATACCTATCACCATGTATCCCACTGTGTATGTTCATCAAATAGGCTATATATATTTATCAGCAGAAGACAACAAAGACGACAACTAACATGGTCCTGTACCTCATTAGACTCATCTTCGATGCTAGATTTGTTAATGAAAACAATTTTTTAAAAAAAGAAGTTCATGAAAATTTATGGTTTATAGCCTATCTGCTTTTGGTTCCATTATGGGCATTACAAATTAAACTACAGAAGAGTGTGGCACTATCTTTCATTATCAGCGTGCTTTCGCAAACCCTATTAGATTATTGGGTAGAAGATGACCTTATCTTCCCTTTGTTTAATCATACGTCTTACAGATTAGGTTTGGTTTATCAAAGTGTAAAGCTACTTTCATCATTACCTTTTCCGTGTAATTAAAAAGCGTTGAAGGAATTCGAATTACATAGTTTTTCAGACGAATATAACCCCCTCTGGTTCATTATAATAGTATTTTTTTTGGACTTCATTGCAAGAAAGAGTGGTAGCGAAGGGACTTCATTCCATTGGTTAGTTTCTTTCTCCCATTATTTCAATGTTCCGGTTAGAACAGATAAGTCCGCCTCATTATCCTATTTGGATATATTCTAAAGTCTGACTTTTTACAGTTTGCCGTTTAAGGGAACTACCTTGTGTTAATAATACTGATTTACTATTACATCTACAATAATTTTTACCTGGAGATTTAGTGCACTTTTGGAAGTGCATTTGTCTCATGTTTAAACTTCAAAAGAGTTTAGGTTGTTCATAGTAATTAGTTTACTACCCCAGTAAGTATGTTGTGATGTGGGTGGGTCTTTCTAAAGGGGCTTCCTAATATGGCAGCAAAATAGAGGGTTTTCTTCTTTTTGACTTCTGGTTGTAACTTGTGGTAATCTTGGTGTTTTGCTTCAGATATTAGTAAGACAATAGATCAAGTCTTCAAGTAGCGTTGCTCTGATCGGATTATGGACTATATTTTTCAGTCCAAGATGATACTATTCTGGACTGGAAAAGGGTTCTGATCTGGTTATAGAGCTCCTAGCTAGATGCAGAACTTGATGAGCATTGATTAGTTCAGTTAACCATCACATCGTCAACTTATTCATCATGATATGTACTAAATCTGGTTGCTTTCAGAAAGGACGTCAACTAATAATTTAGACAGTAAGTAAACAATACAATTTTTCACAAGAGCTTTGTTGGGCATTGACTTGCATGATTGCAAAGGCTTAATTCCGACCTTTCATATAAGAAATACCCATGGAGGAGGACCTTCTGTACCGTTGTAATTACACCACCGTAAGACTGTTTGTTGTACATCCGATGACATCTTTCTTCGATCTAAGCTATGCAAAGAAGGGATCCCTTGATACTTGTCAGATGTGCATGACGGAGATATTGTAAATCAATGTACGTACAATTTTGTAGCTCATAGTCAACCTAATTAATTAGTAACACGATGACTCGATATCGACGGAGATTATGGATGGGACTGCTAAACTGACTATGGTCAGTCTTTTTCTTTCCCTAGCCAGCGACGGAAGTGGCCCAGTAGCGACATGTTAACCGTTGATTCAGCCCACCGATCAATGGCCGTGACCATCTTTAGCCTGGTATGCCTAACTGTTGATTGGTCGATGGACAGGGTGGATCCGGCAGAATAAAGGACAGTCCAAAGCTGGACCTGATGAGCCTCAAACAAACCATTCATTTAATGGGCCTTAAACGTAACAAAATTAAACTTGGGTTTTTTGGGAGATTGGTCCTTTGAACCTATCTATTTTGTCA